ATATATGAGGAAATCCAATCCAAATCGACCATTTTACGTCACAAAAAAAAATTAAAATTTTTTTTGAGGCACACCTTTGCAATAAATTTTTTCTTGTTCTATGTACCCTCAGAAATAAGGGAAAAATAGTGTGCAAGAAATTCAGGCTTTGTGACATTGTTTTTCACGACTCTGAAGATTTTAATCATTGATTTTCGAAAAGAGTGCATGATTCCCCGGGACACAGGTACTCTCGCGTACTGTATAGACTACTTGACATGGGCTAATGGGGACTTAGATGTATATCTAAGGTAAATCGGGGGTGCTGAACACAATGAACATGGTTACAAATCGATATCTCGATTACTTTTCGAGATATCGATATAACGAGCAACATAATCTAAAAATTACGGGGCGAAAAAAATTTTTTTTTTTTTTGAGGCACACCTTTGAACCAAATTTTTTCTTGCTGTATATACCTCCAGAAACAAGGAAAAAATTGTGTACAAGTACTTTGGGCTTTGTGACACAGTGTTTTTTATGGCTCCGAAGGGTATAATACTTGATATTTCAAAAATACTAAGTGAACATGATACGTGCGACTTGTACTGCGTTTTTAAAGCAGCTTGTCGTTTTTATACTATACCATTTTCAATCCGATGGACCATCGACACAGTACAAAAATAAAATTAATTTCTATCTACTGCATTTTTTCTGTAATAAACTAAATCTAACAAGCGCTACATGGAATTTTACAGCTGCTGGTCATGGCAAAAGTATAGCTGATGCGATTGGAGGTACTGTTAAAGAAATGTGTGATAGACATGTTACTTTTGGCCATGATATTTTATGTGCAAATGATATGGTACAATGCATAAATAATTCTAGCAGCAAAATAAATTCATTTTGTATCGATGAAGAAAAAATTAAAATGATTGATAGTCTTGTTCCCGAAGATTTAAAGCCAGTTCCAGCAACTTCAAAAGTTCATCAAGTTATGTGGTCCAAGTCTAACAGTAAAAGTTTGTCATTCAATTATTTATCGTGCTCTCATTGTAATATAGATACTGGTTGCGAACATTATAAGATTGATAGTGTAGTTACATATGATGCGAAAGAAATTGTAAATAATGATGCTAAAAGTAAGAATATTTCACCGTTTCAATCAACAAAAAATTTCAAAGTTGGAGAGTGGGTAGTAGTAATATACGACCAGTGGTACCCTGGTCAACTTGAAAAAATTAATAAAAATGCATTAATTGTTAGATTTTTAGAGAGAACAAAAAAAAATTTTCGTTGGCCAAAGAATAATGACGTTTACACTGTATTTCCAACACAAGTACTGTGCAAAATTGATGAGCCGATTCGTATATCAAAAAAAAATATATTTAAAATAAGTGAGCGAGATTATAATGAAATAACTGCTATGTCTAATTCATGCACAATTTATAATCCCTAGTAATTTATTATAACTTCAATACTTACTGTTAAGTTATGTGAGTTATTATAAGATAATAAATAATTAATCTAAAACTATATGGTAATATTTATTCAAACTTGAAAAAATTGGTAATTTTTTTTTTTTTATGTTTTAACCGAAAACTTGATAAATTCAAGCGTCTTTTTGTTAATTAAGTCCTGTTTAATCTAGTCAGGTTCCTCAAAAAAAGAAACTTATCGTGGTATAGTATAAAAACGACAAGCTGCTTTAAAAACGCAGTACAAGTCGCACGTATCATGTTCACTTAGTATTTTTGAAATATCAAGTATTATACCCTTCGGAGCCATAAAAAACACTGTGTCACAAAGCCCAAAGTACTTGTACACAATTTTTTCCTTGTTTCTGGAGGTATATACAGCAAGAAAAAATTTGGTTCAAAGGTGTGCCTCAAAAAAAAAAAAAATTTTTTTTCGCCCCGTAATTTTTAGATTATGTTGCTCGTTATATCGATATCTCGAAAAGTAATCGAGATATCGATTTGTAACCATGTTCATTGTGTTCAGCACCCCCGATTTACCTTAGATATACATCTAAGTCCCCATTAGCCCATGTCAAGTAGTCTATACAGTACGCGAGAGTACCTGTGTCCCGGGGAATCATGCACTCTTTTCGAAAATCAATGATTAAAATCTTCAGAGTCGTGAAAAACAATGTCACAAAGCCTGAATTTCTTGCACACTATTTTTCCCTTATTTCTGAGGGTACATAGAACAAGAAAAAATTTATTGCAAAGGTGTGCCTCAAAAAAAATTTTAATTTTTTTTTGTGACGTAAAATGGTCGATTTGGATTGGATTTCCTCATATGTATACTTTGACGCGTATATTATATACACTATACGGTCCATGCATAAAGGCGCGATATTACGGCGAAAGTCTCGAGGGTCCTCTCTGCTGCTTGTACACCCACAGGGGGTGGGGGATGAAGTAACCCCCCACTTTGGTGGATACTCTAGAGATGAATGGCCGACTCGGCGCGCGTCCAAGGGACGTGGCTACTGCCCACTGGGTTATGAGAACTTTGGCCGGGACCATCACCGATGACCACACCATCGTGATATATGCGGAACGGAAAGTTACTTCGTCCTTATGGAGTGCATATAATTGTCGTCCCTTTGGTGAAAGTGGGAAATTGTTCCGGTTGAAAGAAGGCGCAGTCACGAAGGAGAAGAAAGAGATAGAGATTCGTTAAAAACCCGGAACGTCCACAGGAGCGCTTTGGGGGGAGGGCAATTAGCCGCGGGGGGAGGAAGGGAAGGACCGACGTGACCTTCACTTTCAGAACTTTGATTCTCCTTCTTCGGCAGGTCGGGTTACAAATGGCTCGGCCACGGCTGAAGAAAACTCCCGAGCGAGGAGAGAAGCAAAGCGAGTCTTTCCGGTCTCTTGGTGGTGCGCACGGAGCTATGTAGTGCTAATACGCGAGAGGGCCGGTGATTTATCGGCACCGTCTACACATACACAGGGCCAACCAAGTGCTGCCCCTTTCGAGTAGCCCGATAATGGCGAAAAATCCGTTGAGTTAATGCAACGGATGGTTTTTGCAGCCCAAGCACGCGCTGCTCTTCAATTTCGTTTGTCGATTGCTCTCTAGAAATGTCGCGCGGGGACGGCCACTCCGTTTTTTAAATCAACCCCCACTACGTAACTATACGTCCATCAGGTTCATATACGGTGCTACGTATATACGAGTATATAATATATATGATGAACGAAAGCCGAGCTTTCGACTGCACTGTAAACAGGTTGTAAGTACTTCCGGAGTTGTATGTACCGAATAATAAGCTGTGCAGTTGTTTGTGTACCCACCGGCTCTCGTAGCGAGAAGAGATTGCTACTTTTGTTTCTAGGCTACATAATGCAATGCACCGTCAAAGAGAGCAAAGGTCAGATTGCGGGTGGGCGAGAAAATTCGTGACGAGAGAGCGGTTTGCCAGCGGAAAATTAGAGGGCTCGTGTACTTGCCTCGGCGTTGCTGCCTGTAAACTAAATTAACGCAATATTGCCAGCTGAGACGTGAAAGTAAAGCTGTAGAGGTATCTCACGCAGTCATTTACTGTAAATAATTTATTTTATCATGTGCAGCATAGTACAGTATTTCACAGTATAAGTACATTCTGTCTAAAGGGGCTCTTCAGTAAATTTGTAAGAATTAACGAGGTAGATTGTTAACATTTCATGTAATAAAAAAAAAGTTCCTTTGATACGTACAAAGTGTTTTTCTAAGGTGGTGACAATTTTTTNGCTTACATGCAATCTTATTTACTTAAGATTGGAAGGACCCGACAAAGTTTGAATTATGTTAAAATATTAATTTTTCAAGATAATTGTGTAATCTATGAAAAAAATTATTTTACTGTAACAGAATTATTGCATTTGCTATTATTAAAGAAAAAGATCCATTAGGCTGCGCTTACATGCAATCTTATTTACTTAAGATTGGAAGGACCCGACAAAGTTTGAAATATGTTAAAATATTAATTTTTCATTTGAATTTCTTGTAATGAAAGTCGGATTCTTTATTAAAAGATTACACTTAGGTTAGCAAATAAATCTCTGCGATAAAACTAAAAAACCCTTTTGTTGCCGAAATAAGTTTTTTGTTATTCAAAAGTCAAAAATGTACTTTATTAACTAATGTTAATTTACTGCTAAAATATTTTTAAAATAACAAGGTGTGGAATTTTCAAAAATTTCCATGCACAGCTACAGTTTCAAAAATAGTCAAATCGATGATTTTTTTTTCTCTGTGAACTGATTCTACAATAAAATTTTTAAAAAAAGCTAATCAAACAGTCGATAGTGTAATTAATTTTAGTGTTTCTCAAGCACCTATATTAGTCGGCACAGCTGTGATATTTTATCTATAGATGTGTAAAACTTTGTTTGACACATTTGCACTTACAGTATGGTAATGTTAGCTCGTACAAGTTTTCAAACCCAGTGAATCGCACATTGAAAGTCAAAACGAATAAATCTATTTTTTTACAATACTCCGCAGTGGGTTCATCGTAAAACATTGCGTCTCCTCGAGCTCTTGTCCAAGTTGACTTTACTGCGGGGCGCCAGCTCGGCCCAATAGAGAGTACGCACTGGCTTGGCTGGCACACTTTCCCCGGCAAAAGATGCCGGCTTGTTATTGCTACCACGCCTCCACAGCGTCGATACGGTCAGAAGGGCAAAGTAAAGAATTTCCACTGCGCTAATGAGGCTGAAGCCAATGAAGACGCCGCAAATTCCCCCGATGTTGCCTGTAAATAAATTAACCGCCAATCAGTGGGGGAAAAAGCAAATTGTGGTATCGAGGGAAAAGAAAACGCGAAATTGCAATTACAGAGCATATGCGAAAATTTGTTTTTGCAACCAGCACAGTCCAACAGACCTCGTGCAATTTCTTTTTTTATTCAGCTTTAGTATTGAAACGTCGAAAAATACCAGTGTGGTTTTCGTACATTGTGCAAATGACACGCGAAAACTCGACTCGTCCCGATCTAAGTAAGTACCCGTCATTGTATCCATATCAGTTCTCGCGTATTCTCTTATTTGCCACCTTAGAATTTAGTTGCAAGGGAAGAATACGAGAAAAATCCATTATATTATTACTGATCCTCGAATCGATTAAAATCGTGAAAACCTCTCATTGGAAACGAAAACGATAAAGGTATGATGATGGAGATGGTAGAAAAGACGGAGCTTTCGAGGAAAAAAAAAAACAAAAAAAATTTCCCCGTGAAACGGATTACTTTTATTACTCGAGAGAATAAAGGGCTCCACCCCTCCCCCTTCAACCCTTTTCTTATTATTTTACTTCCACGGACTTATCCCGTAGCAAGTATCTTAAGCCCTAAGCTTTTTCCCGAGTCCCCTTCCACTACCCTTTTCATTAATTACTCAGGACCTTTTTCTTCTCCACTTCTTTTCTTTCATCCTCGCTTATATTGCCTATATGCTGAAATGCCAAAAGTGATCATCTCGATGGTGAAGAAGAAAAAAAAAAAAAAACGCCAGGCAGCCTTTATGGATTACCCCCGAGCAACTTGCGTGATACGGCGCACACAATCGATCACCGCGTCCTGTAGCGTCCCGTTTGTTGTTGGGTGCTTTTATCATTTTTTTTTTTTTTTTAATTTTTGTTTCGTTCTTATCGTTCATCACTCTATTTCAGATAAGTGTCAACTTATGCGGCATAATTACACGGTCGCTCGATCATTCGCAAGTTACATTCAGTGCGAGCGTATGAACTTGGCCCTTTTTTCGTAATTACCTTCATTTCAATTGATTTTTTTTAATTGTCAAGAAAAATGATGAATCCACGCGAACTTACTCAACAACTCGTACCAGTAGTAGGCGACGTCCTGCTTGAGCCGTACAGTCCCGTACTTTGCGAAGTAAATGTGCACCAGGCTCTGATCGACAATCTGAACGTCCTTTCTGTTTTTCGTAAAAATAATGCATGAAAATCGTAATTTATGCGCTGAGGAAAATACAAGTATATGTACCCACAAAAATGAGATCTGCTCGTCCTTTTGTAGATTAACACTCGACGTCTGCAGATAGTAGTGGACGTCGTCGCAGGACGGGTAACAGCTTTTGCAACGAAGGGACCAAGATTCGTTGCTTATGTAGTTGAATATTTTCGACTCTTCGCCGTCTTGTTTGATATCGTGGGGCAGGACCGACCACCACTTGGCTGAAACGTTTTTCAAACTCATGTACACACATGCAACGACTGTAGGTGGAAAATTTTTATTACAAAAAGAAAATGAATTACTTTTGAATTTATTCAAGCAACCAATGTCCGAAGTATTGCAAACACGATGCTGGACTGAAATCAACATAAATTTGTTTACTACAAACGTATCATCACTACTGATACCAATATTTATTATGCGAATAAATCGAGCGAGTAGTCTCTCCTGCTCATTACAGCTGCTATATGCAATAAGCTTATTTAACATCATGAAAAGCAGAGTCAAATTTGTTACATTGAATTTGGCTGCCTATAAGCATTCCACAATAAATTAAGTTTCATGAAATTACAAAATCTCATGAGTGAAGTTCAATAGCTATGAGAGGTGCAGTTGATGCGTTAAAAACTAAAATATATGATAAATTTATCCGCCCGACGCAGGTGTCCGAAAGATTGACACATATTACCATCACTCGCATTGATAATTCCAAAGCCATATATGTATAAATTAGAAAATTATCCAGCAAAGTTTTAAAAAACCGTAGGCAACCACGTTCACCCATTGTGCAACCGAGCATTGGTTTGCAAAACCGATAAATTAAGCATATCGAGCAATTTTGAGTGGAAATTCGATTTTCATCTGCAGGAAATCCATTAACGCGCGCGCCTGCACCCACGAGTTGTAATTTATCGCCACTAACAAAGGACACCGTAGCTGCGAATAAATTAATAATCAACAATGACCCGATTGGGAACCGTCCCGTGATTATTCATAACTCAATGGAAGAAAAAAAATTAAACAAACAAATCCAAGTTGAAAAAAAAAAAAAAAAGAAAAAAGACGCACATCTCTCGGGAAAGTAGAAGGGCCGGCATCCACAGGTCGTCCAGATGTCGTTGACCTTGCAATCGACTATGCAATCGCTGTAGGTGTACCCATCGTACAGGGCGGGTATCTCGTCGTTGAATATGCACTTGCGCTCGTTCACCTCGAAACTACGCACCGATTTCTCACTGTAGAACGACACCGCGTTCAATTCGAGGAAATTCTCCGTCCCCGGCGATATAAGGGCGTCCGACACCCCTCCGGAGGTATTGTCCGGATAGTCCCCGGAATTGAAGATGGTTATCTGCCAACGGGACGCAAAGTCATGAGCAACACCCGTATCGCACCCACGGGCTCCCCCCCCCTCACCTTCCAGCCGCTGATCGGCAAGATCGAGAAGAAGTAGTCGTCCAGGAAGGGATCCAGCAAAAAGGTCAGGCCGTTCATCTGGCCCAGCCGCTTGATCTTGTACGTCCCGTTCACGTGGTTCTCGATCACCGGCCTGTAAAGTACAACTTACATCGGTATACGTCACTCGGGGTGGAAGTTAAGTTAGTAGGGGTAATCTCACCCGTGAACGTCGTCGATCGGCCGGGCATAGTTGAAGGTGCAGCAGAAGCCGTCCTGGGTCTTGCGAAAGGTGAACAGCTCGGAGCACCTCCTCGCCTCGAACCGGAACCGGCACTTGATCAGTATGTCGTTGCACTGTGGCGTCAGCTGCAACGTTTGTCCCGAAATTGGTATGTGTTATATATGTATACACCACGACTATATAACTTGGCTATGTCCTCCCCCCTCCATCTTTCTCTCGGAGTTTTAATAAGTGGTGCGGGGAAGAAAGCAAGTTTTCGCGAAAAGTTGCAAAGTTGGGGGGTGGAAAAGTTTCGAGTCTAAGCCCAGAGGTATTGTAGAGGAGCGAACAAACCTCTTTCATTAATTGAGTGAGGTCGTAGTTGTCGTTCAGGTATTTCTTCAGCAGAGCGTCGAGTTCCTCGTCTTGGCTTTTATTGTACTCCCCGAAGGACGTCTCGTAGAGATAGCCGAGGTTGTACAGGAGACTCACTATCCTGTCGAGCGGCAGGTCCGTCGCGTTTGACGATTTTCTTTGGAAAATGCGTAAACATTACAAATGCTGTCGTACCCATACGTACAACTAATAATTTGTGTGTACGTTTTTTTGTGGTATTAAATACATTTAGGTACGTTGTACGTGGCAATTAAAAGTTTATCATTGAATTGAAAGTTCTCCCGCCAAAGTGGCTTGTTTAAATTGGCGCCAATGCTGTAGGGTATTTGATGTATTTTGCCAACAAACGTAATTTGCAAAGTTTTCTCAGTGATGGACAGGTAATGACAGTTCTGATCGATAAAGTGTATTTCTGGTGCCCATTAAATCGATGACGTTGATTTTTTTTCATCCCCTGAAAAATTTATTTGCTGCTCTTTGGTCGTGGATAGGTATACTTGGGAAAGTTATCCGAACTTTGTACATATTTGCAATTTTCCAACAGACAGCTTTCCCGAAATTACCTAAGGATATGTAGATACTTTTTAATTAACTTATACAATTTTTGTAATTCATAACTTTGTGCATCCATACGTGAAATAAAATATATAATAACTACACAGCACAGGGTACATGATACACTGACATAATTAACGGCATACCAAAATTCAATTACTTATTCAATTTTAGTAATAAAGTAATTAAAAAGATTTTTTCAATTAAAATTTCTTTCATCGCTTGTAGTGCAAAGTGCTCGCTCGAACAATATTCAAAGTTCGCGCTTAAGTGAAATTCATATAAAAAACAAAATGCAAGTAAAAGACCACTTTCCTGAAGCAAAGGAAAAAAAGAAAAATCAATCAAACATTGCAAACACAGGGTCAAATTAAACCACGCAATATTCTGCCAAAAAAGCTGATCAATCGCTAATACTTGCAAACAGTCGACTTTTTTTTTATCCCTCCCAAAAAAGGGGAGAAAAAACCTTAAAAAAAAAAAAAAACCAAAAAAAAACCAAAACAACCCTTTTCTCTGCCCCCCTAATGTTTTCCAATGAATTCTTCCCTGCCAGGCAGATAAAAACACAGAGAGGAAGGGAGGGTGCAGGCTAATAACGCAGCATAACAAAACAATGGGCAGAAGCGGAGCCGAGTAGAGGCGCCACGGGAGCAGAACTGGAACACCTGCCGGGTTCATTGTTGCCTCCGTGATTTACTTTGCTTTTCTGCGGGTGCACCCTCTCCCTCCTCCTCCCTTTGGTCTTCTGCACTGCTACCTACACGTATATACACCGCTGACGACGACGTCGGATTACAGCAGCAGCGGTGGTGGTGGCGGCAGAGCGATATACAATGCCCCCACGGATGTCTGTGTGTACGTATACACGTAAAATATATACGTGTGTAGTATGGCCTACATGCACGCAGGAAGGCAGGCACGCGGGTGTTCATGATTATGCGGTCGTCGAATCGCATTTCCAAATATTTATCACACGCGAGCCAACCCCAGCTCTATGGGGCTATACGAGGGGGTGCGTGTAGGTATACATGTATACGACGCCCCGTGCCAATTGAAATTTTCCATTTCCGAGCTATCTCGGCTACCTCGTTCTCATTCGCGCGCATGTGAATGATGGTTTTTGTTGTTTCATTTTTTTTTTTTTCCCTCCCACTCCCGGCTTTCTCTCTCACGTGCGATTGCATTTTTGCTTTTTGGTCCTGGTTGTGTGTTTGCGCAAAAATTTGTCACCACTTGGCTTTTTTCCTCCAATCAACACACTTTTTTTTCCTCAATTAATATTCGCTCGTGTACAAATAAAGAAAAAAAACATCTCACTCGCATCTTTTTTTTCGCTATTGTTGCAGTACCATCAATTAATACCCCAAAACCGTAAATCCAACGAGCGAGTGAAATTTCAATCCTAAAAATTTACGCCAAAACAAATGAACTGATAAACGGGAACGCGTATAGGCTCGTAAAGTGCGAGAAAAATAGGAGCAAAGCGTACATCGGCCGTAATGGGACACCTCCTCGAATTTAATCGACCAATCCCCCCCTCCCGGAATTCAATTAGCTCCTCCAACTGCAACCACCTCGTATCGTGTTGTATAACTCAATTTCGTGTTTGCGCTTACATTCGTTCGGCGAGTCTCTCCGTGGCCTTCTTGCTGATTCGGTTGATGCTGCACAGAGATACCGCTGCGAAACAGAGACAAACGTCGGTTAGTTGATTAATATTATTATTATTAAGCAACAAACAAATCGAAATAAAACGACGTACAGTTACGAGCGGCGCAGGCGCGTACAGACGTGTTTTTTTTTACTCCCTCCCTCCCTTCTTTTCTCCATCAAACGCGAGCGTTTCTCAAACACGGTCCATAAATCGGTTTTTCCGGATCACCGGCTCGCGAGGCGCGAAGATTCGCGATAGCTTAGATTTCAATTTTTTGTCACCCCCTCGCTCATTCCCCTCACAAAAAAGGCTCGCCCATTCATCTGAAATTCGCGCGCCCCAGATTGATATCCGGCTGCAATAGTTTTCTTTTTTTTTTGTTTTTCGTCCAGCCAACCAATCGAATCACGCAGGAAATTATTTTTGTCGTCTCCCCTTCCGCGGCGACGTATATCGTAAATTATACGTTTTGCATATTCACCAGGCCAGTCCAGGAAGCTGGAGGGATAGTGGTAAGAGTCGACTATGGTTACCACCGGCGTGTGCCTGTAATCTTGCAAAACGTCCCACACGATGAGGCACAAAGTAATCATCATCACCACGTGCAGGACGACCCACATTATCCTTGGGAAAAAACAATCATTACATAGAATTAGATTTTTTCATTACCAAGCAAACACAGGTAGTAATGCAGTGTACCTTTCGTAAGGAGTCCTTCGAGCCTCGACCATGTACTTGTACCCTGCGAGGCTCGAGTTGTTCAGGTAGTCCTTGAGTTGTTCCCAGAGCAACTGAGCGAGCGTCCGCCGAGTCCTTGGCTCACCCGGGGCTGCGAGCCAAGCGAGCCTCGCTCTGTTCTGGCCAACACTTTTGTTACTCTGCCATTTGGCCGTCTCGTGCTTCGCGACCCTTCCACTCACGCTCGGAATTTCACCCCACATTTTCGCCCCCCCCCCGTCCAACACTAAATTTCAATCACAATGGCGAATCAATCAGCCAAACATTTATTATGTAGGGAGAGGGTATATTACTAAAATATTGCTGTTTATTACGATACAAACAATAGCCAATTGCGTATACTATATATGAATAACCGAGTGGGCAATTAAGTACAGATTCACCCGGCAAACATTGACTGGGCGATTTGACAAGCAAAAGTGCTCTACGCGAGCTCGGCAAATTGCGCCATGAAATCACGATGAAATACCACTACTATGTGATCCTGCGATCTGCATAATACACGGCAGGTCCGTGACGCAGGTGATCAATATTAATCGATTTAATTGTCCCCGTCGTAGAGACCAGCCAGCGGTGTTGTCCGACGACAAAAGCCACGGATCCCGTTATCGAAATTCCCGACGTTGTTGGTGACTGCACTGCTTCCCTATACTTTGAGATTGAGCAGCAGCTGCACCGGAGTGTGATTATTCGAGAGGGACTTGCGCGCCGAGTTGTCGAGGAATTTCCATCCGTTTCTCGACGAAAAGTCACTCGAGGATAACTCATTCGCAGTCAGTCGCTCCACTGTTTTCAAAACACCGTACATACATAAACACACGCGAGCCAAAGAGCACTTGCAATTCGAACGAAATGGTTTTCTCGCGGCACTTTCCGAGCACCAAATCGCATCATCGGCCCAAAAGAGGCCAATCCTCGATCGCTACGGGAGAGCGTAAATTTCATCACCCGCGCTTTTACAGCCCTCCTGCACTTTTTCCCCCGAGCAACGTGCGGCACCTTCGGCTTTTCCACCCTTTCACCGCGCACGCTCGCCCGCGAATCGATCCCTCAAAGTCATGCCCGCCGACCTTACCAACAGAGAAAGGGGGGGGGGGCTAATAATTTGTTTGTTCGTGCTTTTTTCGCGCCCAGTGGACACTTATGGGATTGAGCTTATCGGGCACGCGGCATCGCGACCCTCGGACAAATGTTTTATTCACGCTCCTTCGGTGATGGCCGGATTATTTATTGACGCCCGACGCGACACTCATTAGCTCGTACTGCTCGCTCGAAATTATTTATAGGGTACAGCATGGGCGCGAAGAATCGAGGCACTCGTTGCTCTGGTTTTCAACGTGTGTGTGCATATATAGGCCAGTACCGCGATCAATCAAAGTTGATGAAAGGGTGCTTTTTTTTTCTTCTCCCTTCCCCGCTCGCCCTGTACTAATGTAAAAATCAAGGGTACCGGGGGCTGATTATTTCATTAATAATAGAGTTGTTTTTTTTTTTCTGCCACTCGTTAACCCCAACGGTGTAAAGTGATTTTTTCAAACTGTCGACAATTTTTACCCAAGGCGTTTCAAAATCGATGAAACAATCCTCAGCGGTATTTTAATATCACGAGTAGCTTCGTCACGAGCTCGCGACCGATGTTAAATATGCAGATAAGCTTGCACAACGATGTTGAACAGTTATTGTAATTAAACAGGTACAAAGGTAATTACAATAATGTACGCACATTAGCATTAATGTATGGACGTGTCTGTTTGACGTTTAAAGTTAATTTATTAATTGCACTTGCTTTTGATCTTTTTTTTTCCATCTAGATAATTTGCAATCAGCTGCGTCGTATCGTTTGCATCGAAGCGCCGCTCTTTTTTCCTCGTTAGTCGCTCGCTTTGTGTTACCAAATTACCATGCTCGTTTTTAATCTTTATTTTTTCGGAAAATACTTCGATTAACGGCATCAAAAGGGCTACTCTTTGATGTAATCTTCATTAGAGCTTTGCAGAGACGCATCATCCCCAAAGCTTTTCGATCGGCCGATATTGGCACAGTAGTGATCACGAGTGTCAGGATCATCTCGAAAATCTCGCTGAAATGTTTGTTTGCACACATCTGGTATGAAATAAAGTTGTTAATCCAAAAGTGATCTTATACGTTTTTATCGCCAAATTTCACCCCCCTCCCACTCACGAGTATAGACACTCGAAATCAGCTAATTTACCTGTCCATGAATAAAGAAAAGAAAAATCATGTAAAACTCGCACGTATATCGTCCACCCCACAAAGTTTATGCCCGACGACCTTTTTCACGGAGTATAAAAAATTTGACCTCCCCTCCCATGGAAGACGGACCGTCCGCGGGTACAAATATAATACCCATACCACGGTACAGCGGCATGTTTGAAGGAAAAGAGAGACATCGTTCGGTGCGATCGTAAAATTCGTCATCCATTCCGCAGCACGGCGCGCCTGTATATACACTCCACTACACGTGTGGAGGCGAAACGAGAAAAAGATGTTACACGCGCGCGCGAGGGAAGAGAAAAAATAAAAAAATAGTATTCGTTCTTTCCCCGGGATGCACATTTTACTCGTAAGACGTCGAGCTTGTGCACGGATGAATAAAAAAAGCCGTCATCTGAATTTCAAACGTAAAATCGTGCCGAGGATTCTTTTTTTTTTTCCCCTCTCCTTCGTATACACACGCGTTTGGCGAACCGACGCAGATGTACTGTTTCCCGTCCAACCCTCCAGGGACGGATGTATATTGGAGAAAAAGGGAGCAATCGATGGGTAAATGTACTCCACATGCGTGTCCGTATCGGCGATACAAAGAAACACCCACCAACGGTTCAGCTAACGAGGCGATACGGAGATTTTCCAACATTCGGTCGGAGCTTCGTACACGATCGTGCGTGCGCGGCACGTTTCATCGGGAGCTTATTTGCGCCGAGGTGCATCGCAGGTAATAAGCTTCACCTCCGCGAATCGCGCATTAGAAGCACAAGCGAGAGGTAGATTACGGTGAGGCTCGTGTATTACAAAGCGATCTTGGCCCTATACGTGTTCCTCCTTTGCTGCGGATACATGTCTATTGAACGGCTTGAGAAATCAGCGGGTGCCGAGGAGGATTCTCGGGAACAAACAGCTTAAGCCTTTTGATTAAAACTTGGCCTTTATCTCGCACGAGTCGGAGATATCCTCCGCTGAGCTGGCCGGGGGAGGAACTCGGAGGGGATGAGTTATACCTCGGTCTGACGCGCCGCATTATTTTGGTAAAAAAATAGTATACGTGTCGGGAATGTGCGATGGAGTATATGCTTTTTTTATTTATTTATTTATTTTTTTTTGATAGTGTGAATTTGACGTGTACACTACGCGCTCGTTTAACTCTGGTGCTTTTGACGTTCGGTCGTTTGGGGGATTAAATTGGAAATTTCGCGCGTTTCGACGCAACGTCGCGTGTGTTAGGATTTACGTAGGAGAAGGTATAGGCGGGGTCGTGGATTTTACCAAGTAATTTGCGATCCCGGGTGTTTTTGTCCTTTCACAGACACGTGCGTGCATTAATTTGCGGAAAGTTGTCAAGGAGCCGTTTCCCGGGGCAACTCGGCGGAAACTCGAACGTTTCTCTCGACTTCGATTCTTGTTTCGCGTGAATGCGGAGTTGGCGGAGGAGCCGGTGTTGATGCGTCGGAGATGCATATTTTGGCGTGGAAATTTGTCGCGCAACTCGAGCTTTTTGGGATAAAAATTTTGAAGAGCCTTTATAACTTTAGTAGAATTTCGCTACGGAGGTGTACGAAAGTGAAGAGAAACATGAAAATCTAAAAGAGGCTGATAAAGACGTGCTCGCTCCGGCGATGAGTGACGCAAAAAAATCAACTGAAAAATACGGGGAGCGAGAAGGAGCGTGTATGGTAAATAGAATATGCTGTCGGTTGAAGAAGACTTGGCTGGCGTTGGTGAATTGGTTTTACTCGTTTTTGCAGAAAATTTTACCGAGCGCTCGTTGCGAAATAAAAAAAAAAAAAACCATGAGTTTACATGTGGAATAATCAGGCGTGTAGTACGAACCTCTCGGTGATGAGACGTTGTATTTTTGATGGCATTCGATTTTCACGGCAGCTTATCGCCTTTCAAAAATTCATACCCGGTAAAATTGAACCTTGAAATTTTAATCACTACATATACGGTTCGTCCAAATGCAATACAGATCGAAAAAATATACCAAAGAGCCGAGAAACAATAGGTAGCATCAGGGCGTGAAAGGGCACGCTCTTATAAATGTATACGTACAAAAGAAAATCGCTCGGCAAAGCCCGGCGATGATTTAATAACGTCCATAAATCGATTTGGCCTTAACGAGTAAGAGGGCTCCCTTCATAAATTCCCGCGACACTTAAAGCCCATCTGCTCCCGTTTTTTCCCCCCCACCCCTATCGCACCCTCTCGGGCGAGCTTTGAGATTCGCGGTATGCAATTTTGATGAAGCAGTCGGTGTGTGCGAGTCTTCTTTTTTCTTCCCTCATCTATACGTCCACGCGCCTCTTTTTCATCTTTTTCTCTCTCATAAATTTCTTGAGGCGTCGCTTTTAGGATGCAGAGCCAAGTTCGCGTGGCGAATAATACCCGGCAGAGTATCGAGCGCCGCGCCACTGTTGAGGGATTAAATTTTCGTTCTTGGAAGCTGCCGTAAGCCCCAAACGCCAACCGAAGAATCGGAGATGCGCATCGCTTCGCGCAACGTGAAATTCAAACGTTGCTGGTACAAAAGCGACTCTGGATCCCTTCGGAGGATCGTTACTCGTGTAATGATGCTACCGTACATGCACTTGAATGAAATTAGTGCTGGATAACACCCCCCTGGATTTTTGTTGGTAAATTTTCAAATTCTGTTCGAGAAATTTTTTTTTTTTTTTCTTTGCTGTTTTAAAAGGAATACAATTTGTAAACTGGAAAATCACCTCAAAGCCCAATCTTACCAGGGGCAAACGCAAGATTTACAAAGAGCCAGGGAGATTACGACAGCCAATTTGCCCCAAAGAAAAGAGCATCAATTTCGTAATACCGAGTCGGATGTTTTCTTGACTTTCTGATCTCGTCGCTGCTCTCTTTGCGCCTTTGTCAAAGAAAACAGGATTGAAAAACAGAGAGAGACGGATGGATCTGCTAAAATATTCTATTGTCATCGCGTGGAACTGCAGGAGCGTATTGTGTTTGTGTTGTTGCCTCCCCTGTCCCCCTGACGGAAGTTAATCCGATACCTTTTGCGCTTTTCTTCTCGGCTCGTGAGCGCGTAGTCTTGTTTTCTCGTCGACTGTCGCTCGGTTTTGAGACGATGCTCGACTTTTCAATTACTCTGGGGATGATAAACTTGATTCCGCGTTGCTTAATTTTAAAGTAAAAAGTGTTATGTATAATACATAGAAATTAAGTGAGAGATGAAATGAGCCATTTGTTAATAAAATGTATTCGGTGTTGACTGAAATTGTACAGGTGGTAGAAATTGGGTCACGTAATGATGAAACTAAATAACAAAGTGACTTTTCTATTAGATAATTTTTTTTTTTTTTTTTTTTTTTTTTTTTTTTCATGGATGAAAAAACAAGAAACTCACATTTTGTCAACGCGTGCAGTGGCACGGTCACCAGTACATTTTCATCTGGTAGTGAAGCCGTCGAGGTGAGTTCTCTTGCCCCAAAGTCTCTTTGCGAAGTAATTATACGAAAACCGACCATTTTTCCTCGAGTTTTAACCGCCAAGTGCACATTTCGCATCGCTTTATGTATATTAAAGCAGAACTACCGGTCTCTTGCTGTGTCTGACCAAATATAGGCCAATACTACTGCGCAGCATTATTTTCGCGATGAAAAGTTATTTAATTACAGTTGCAGGCAAACGTGCGAAATTTGTCTGCGAATTAAACTGACTTTTAATTAAAAATATCATGGAACATGTTTGTTCAATTGTGTCGATAGACATTGTTGAATGAATGGGGAGTATCTTGAAATCAAAGCAAACCGTGTATGGTTAAATATCAGCACGAAAGTGATTTCTGAAATTATAGTTTTTTCGCCGATTTAAGTTTTATAAAAAGAAAAAATCTCAACCAACTTATCAAGAAACTTGTGATACTAAGGTTGTTTATAATGAATTTTAAAAGATGGTGTTTTCGTGCGAGAGTTTTAATTGATATTTTTCAAAAATACACAAACTTTTTCAATTGTTAAAGCCACCTTGCTCGGCTTTTTTCCCAAACTTTTTTAAGAATTTCCGTAGAAATAGTGAAAATACCTTTTAAATATAAAACGTAAAAAAATTCACGACATAGCGAACGACAACGCCAAAGTTTCTAGCTCACTTAATTTTTTTTTTGCTTCTTACTCTATTCTTTCACTTCATCTGGTATTCCGTCCATTCTTTCATTCAAAGTTTGTTTCCCTTTGCAAGTAGAAAATAAAAGAGTGGCCCGATGCAAGGGGACACTTAAAGAGCTCGTTCTTTAATATCGTAGCAGTTAATAGTGTCAGGCCATTCATGGGAATCCTTTGAGAACCGGATTTTACAACTTTTTATTTTTTTGTATGCAATCCGATCCAGCAGTTCATAAAAGTATTCAATAATTGGTAAATCATCTTCTTTATTCAATTAAAAAGACTGTCGAGTCAAAAAGAGTTTGTGAGTGTTTAACAAATAAAAAAGTGTGTTTTGTCAATTACGAAGTAGTTAAGGACCTTCATAATAAACTTACCTTACACCAAGTAATTATTTGCATTTCCCGTTTAGATTTGTTGATTTTTCAAAGTGTAACTACGAGGGAAATTTGATGCTTCGTAGATGAAAAACTTTGTGACCAATTGAGTAAATAAAGGTAAAATAACGACAAAAAAAATTTTTTAAACATTTATACAACTGTTTATTATACTTTTTTATAAATCATTAATAATGCGTAATGAATGCGTATTTTTTTTTCTTATATTGTTGTTGGCTTACAGACAACTTAGTTAATAATTTTTTTCGCGTACAGGTTTTTTTTTTTAATATTATAATGAGATAACAAGAAGGAACGTTACATATTTACATATAAAAATATATCTTACAAACTAT